CTCGGCGCTGGACTCCTCCAGCGCTGTGCCTCATTGCTGATGAACAGCGCAGCTGCAGTCTCAAAATAGCGCAGCAGGTAGTCTCCACATAGCGCAGCAGGGGAAGTCCTGAACCAGCGTAACGCTGGATTTCTCCTGGTACCTTCCTTTTGAACTGGGCAATGGCCCAGCTTAAGTAGCGCTGGGCCAGGACTGAAAGCCCACGGCCTTCGACCTGGACCGTTCAGATCCACGGTTCAGATCGCAGGCCCTTCGTGTGGTTCAGCCCTTGGCCTAAAACGGCCTGCCTGGGTCCCTACCGGACATCCAGGCCCTGTCCAGGATTCAACTTCCTGGTACCTGGCTTCAAACCGGTCCTGTGCGGACGTACCCGGCCTCAACATCGGCCTGGGTCCGAACAGGTGAAAATCTGTTCGAAAACAAAAGAAAAGGTCCAAACGTTTTTAGAGGCGCGGCCTCTGGGCCTGAATCTGGCCCTGGCCCTAAAACGTGTACCTGGCCACAAAACGGACAACAGTGCACACGTTAGAAAAACAGCAGCAAATAAATAAATAAAAGAATATAAAAATAATCTAAAGCTGGCGTTTTTCTGATGCAGGCCCAAGTAAAAATGCCATAGGGCCTTCAGGTTGCGGTGACGCGACCTGGGGGCCCTATTCCAACCTCGGGTCCCGTGAGGGGCCCGTGTGTAGGCTTTCAGCATGTAACATAAAGGAAAAGAAACGGAAGGTACACACATGCCCATATGGAAGAACTGTTAGCACGCCATGAGTGGAAACTCTGATGCAACCAGATGATGCAATAATGCTAAGGCTATAAAAAGTACCAAAAACAGGAAAAAAACACATGGCCAAAGTACATTTGGGTTCTTTCTTTCTGGGCCAAGTTCTCTTTGGTTCTCATTGTCTGGAAATGGGGGCCGAGGAGAGGAGGGGGGGAGGGGGGGGGGGGGGCACAGCCAAGCCCACATAGCATTACCACATACCCCACATTGCATCACCTAGCCCACATATCATCAACACATAGTACCATACAGTCCACATAGTATGATGAACCCCACGTAGTACACTGCAGCCCGGCCGGTCAGTCGAAACAGTACCATTCAACCCAAATAGTATCACCCAGGCCACATAATACCTCCCAGCCCAAATTCTACCACCTAGCTGTGCTGTGGTGTGCTGTTTGTTCTTTTGCTTCGTGAGAGTCGTATCTATGTGTGCGTGTATGAAGCACATAGTGGTTTTCTCCTTCGCAAGTGGGTTCCCTTTTAGGGTATCCACAGCCCAGCCCAAATAGCATCACCCAGCCCACGAGATAGATGGATGGATGGATGGATGGAACAATGGATGGAGAGATGGATGGATGGAACAATGGATGGATAGATGGAGCGATGGATGGATGTATGGACTCTGGAGCGATGTATGTATGTATGTATGTATGTATGTATGTATGGATGGATGGAGTGATGGATGGATAGATGGATGGAGCGAGAGATGGAGCGAGAGATGGAGCAATTGAAGGCGTGATGGATGGAGCGATGGATGGAGTGGTGGAGGGAGCGATGGATGGGTTGATCGAGGGACCGATGTAGCGATGGAGGGAGGGAGGGAGCGATCGAGGGAGGGAGGGATCGATCGATCGATCGATGGGTTGAGGGAGGGAGGGAGGGAGACATCGATCGATCGATCGATGGATGGGTGGATGTATGGATGGATAAATCGATGGAGCGGTCTGATGCATCGATCGAACGATCGATGGATCGATGGATCGATCGATAGTGATGGATCGATCGATCGATGGATCAATGGATCGATCGGTGGATGGATGGCTAGACCAATAGATGGATGGAGGGAGGTGGATGGACGGATTGATTGATCGATCGATCGATCGATTGAATGGATGGATAGATGGATGCATTGATCGATGGATCGATTGATTGATGAATTGATGGATGGATGGATGGATCTATTGATGGATGAATCGATGGATGGATGGATGGATCGATTGATGGATGAATAGATGGATAGATGGATGGATGGATGGATCGGTGGATGGATGGATGGACCGATGGATGGATTGATGGATGGATTGATCGATCTATCTATCGATCGATCGATCGATCAATCCATCCATTCATCCATCCATCGATCCATCGATCCATCGATCCATTGATCGATTCATCGATCGATCCATGGCAGCGGGCAAGCAGGCAGGTAGGCAGGCGGGTAGGCAGGGAGGCAGGCGGGCAGGCAGGTGGGTAGGCAGGCAGGGAGGCAGGCGGGCAGGCAGGTAGGTAGGCGGGCGGGTAGGTGGCTAGGTAGGTAGTAGCTATGTAGTCAGATAGCAAGGTAGACTGGTAGCTAGGTAGGCTGGTACCTAGGTAGGTATGTAGGTGGGTAGCTAGGTTGCTAGGTAGGTAGCCAGGCAGGCAGGCAGCCATGCAGGTAGGAAGGCGGGTAGGTGGGTAGGCAGGCTGGTAGGTGGGAGGGCGGGCAGGCAGGCGCGCAGGTGGGTAGGTAGGCGGGTAGGTGGGTAGGCAGGCTGGTGGGTGGGAGGGCGGGCAGGCAGGCGCGCAGGTGGGTAGGTAGGTGCGCAGGCAGGTGGGTGGGTGGGCGGGCAGGTAGGTAGGCGGGCGGGTAGGTAGGTAGGTAGGTGGCTAGGTAGGCAGGTAGCTAGGCAGGTAGGTAGGCGGGTAACTAGGTAGCTAGGTAGGTAGGTAGGTAGGCAGGCAGGTAGGTAGGTAGGCAGGCAGGTAGCTAGGTAGGCAGGCAGGTAGCTAGGTTGGCAGGCAGGTAGGTAGGTAGGTAGGCTGGCAGGTAGCTAGGTAGGTGGGCAAATAACTAGGTAGGTGGGTAGGTAGATAGGTAGGTGGGTAGGTAGCTAGGTAGGTGGGTATCTAGCTAGCTAGTTATCGATCTAGCTAGCTAGACAGATAGATAACTAGCCAGTTAGCTAGCTAGCTAGCTAAATAGATAGATAGATAGATAGATAGATAGATAGATAGATAGATAGATAGATAGATAGCATTGCGACCGCGGACCCGGACCACCGGTCGGTCCTGTAATGATCTGGACGTCCAGATTTCCGGACCAGTCTGGACCAGGTCCAGATTGGTCCAGATGGTCCGGATCATCATATCCGGAATGGCCTGGATTGAAGAAAAAAAAAAAAAAGACACCCCAGCAGGTCTTTTATCCATGTTGAATGCGAAACTCCCTCCCCCTTCTTCCGAACCTACCTCCTCCACAATCCGAAGAATCCGAGGTTCCGATCAGAAAGATCTACAAAATTGTCCGAAAGTTTGCGAATGAAAGAAAACGAACCACAATTTTGAAAGCGATCCATCGTAATGGAATGAGAACATTGAAATGTCCAAAGATAAAGCAGGCAAATGAAAGCTGGAGGATTGAAAGAAGGGGGAGGGAGGTTCTGAGCAGGGGAAGGGATTGGATTCCCTCCGCTGTCCTGAACCTCCCTCCCCTCCTTTCAAACCGCCGAACCAACCTCCCCCTATGTTCCGGAGATTGCAAAGTTCCGAACATCACGAGGTACACGATGTCATCAAAGTTTTGCAAACAAATCATAAATATCCAAAGCGAACCACCATTCTCCAAAACGTGCCCCTGTTCTTCCGAACCATTCTGTTATAGTCGTTCCTTTTCACAGAGAGAGAGAGAGAGAGAGAGAGAGAGAGAGAGAGAGAGAGAGAGAGAGAGAGCATGGACTGTTTTTTCCCCGTCGGCTCTTTTGTCTTTTCTTTTCTTTTCTGAAAACTATCTTCCTTTCGGAGCTCAAAATTGAAGGTTGTGGGTTCGAGTCCCATAACTGCCTGCGGCGAACTTAGTCCCAATCAGCTGTGAGAATGCACTTGATACCGCTGATCGGTATTAGTAGGGTCTTTGTCCAACATGGGTGTGAGAGTGAGTGTGAGTTGGTTGTGTTTGGTGTGTGGGATAGTGCTGGCCTTCGAAAGTACTGCTATTCGATGGGGGTTGTGGGACGATGAAAAGGGAGGCACAGCTACTGGCAAATGCAATCCCTTCATTGTGAGGTAGCTATGCTTGCCGGAGTCCCTTCTATATAGCCTTAGGAGTAGTGGTAGGTAGGTAGTGAGAGGCAAAAAAAAGAACTTGAGAGAAGAAATATAGCGTAGTTAAAAAAAAAAAAAAAAACTTAAAAAAAGTGATGAGGCACCGTGAGGGAGAGAAAGGAGAGTTGGAAGGAGGGACTGTGTTTTATTTGTTTTTTTTAGTTTTTCCTCCTTCGAGGGGCGAAACCAGGTGAGAGGTGCGTTAGCACTGTAGAGGGGAGGGGTGAGGGAGGGATAGGGAGAACATGCCGAAGGTTCATATTCTCAAAATATCAGTTCATGTGGAACCGCCATCACACTTGGCATGCTTTCTGTTTTTTTCATCTTTTCCCACATGTTCCTTTTTTCGGGCAAAGCCGCAACAGGTAATCTTTTACAATAATTTTAGCGGCTAACTAATCCCCTCTAATAAAACGGCATTATGTTCTTTTTATTTGAAATGCTTCTGCTGAAAAAGTTGGCGCTTTGATTTGATTGTGGCTGCAGCCCGAGAACTTACTTCTGACGGCGGATGGGCACCTGAAGCTGACGGATTTTGGCAGTGCAAAGTGTGACCGATTGCTGCTCAATGAACAAGAAGGCGGTGATGATCGGCTGGGTATGGATATCAAGTCATCGCCAGAAATACCGTCAAACCCCGCGCCTGCAACCTTACCCAGTGCTTCTCTGCGATTCAAACCTGCCACCTCACTGGGGCTCCGACGCTTTTGGAGTTGCTTTTCTTGCTGTGCCATGGAGATTGGAGCCACTCGTAAGATATCGGCCACAGTCCTTTCTGCATGGCGCTCAAGAAGATCTATCCGTCACCAGCCATGTTGGAATTAGTACAAATACTAGAAAAGCAATACTTGTGATACACTGCATTCACAGAAGAAGACGAATGCATGATTGTCCGGTGTGGAGTCTGAGTTCCGGTACGATTGGTAGCAATATTTTCCTGCCCTTCTTTTTTTCTCTTCTTTTTTCTTGTGATCCTGAAGGCTAACTGTGCCCACCACTCCTGATTAGTGTTTGCTCTGAATTCACCCTCGGCACCCACTCGTATGGCATGGCCCTTATGTGAAGACCTTAGGCGACAGCCAAACCAGTGGTGTCCAGTCTGATCATCGCAACCATTCACAGAACACTTGATGCTTGGCTTCCCGTGCAATATGCGCAGCCCTAATTATCAGTAGAAGTTTGCAGATTGCAGTTTCACATGTAAGTATGTGGCCGAAAAATATCCCCTCGAGTGGACCGCCAGACATGGACGCCACCTATGACATGTATCGAATTGTTGACCAAGATACTGACAGATCAAGTAGAAGGGATAACCACCGCGGCAATACAAAGTCGGTTTTCAGTATCACGAATCGGAGGATGATCCGAGGTCCCTGAGGCGGAGCTGAGTGAGACTGCCCCTAGAATTGTCTGACATTATGAGCAAGCATTAAAAGATGTTTGAATCGCCGATAGGTAGAGTTAAGTCTCTATGTTCTGAGTGGACCTCAAGTTTTGGGTCGGTGGGAGTGAAAGGATTTCACGTGTCTCAATGTCCTCCAGTCCCATGTCCAGAGTTGCATGTACCATATTACCAACCGTGTAGGTAGGTTAGTTCGGTAGGTTTAGTAGACCCAGCAGGAGTGATAGGCCCGTCAGTCCAGTTACCCTGTCCAGTCCAATCCGTAGCTCAGTCCCAAGAAGGTTAGTGAAACTTATGGATGCATCGAACTGGATGCATCAAAGGCTGACCATGGCCGTCAAGTGTGGGTACCAGTCCGGAAAAGTCAAAATCAGGAACTGACGCATTATATACAAAAGTCTGTGGGCAGCAAAGAGTTGACACAATCTTTAATTCAAGCTTGCTGTGGAAGCGCTGTTGCCACTCAAGTCTTCAGTGAGGCTGGAGAGTGTAGGATAGTTGACAGCACCCAGCGCTATAGCATAGTCGAGCGAGAGAGCACGAGCAAGAAACACATTCAGACAGAGAGAGCGAGAGGCCTGAGTATAGAGGAAGAGAGAGATTGACAGACTCCAGGCCTACGTGTTGTCATGACCTGCAGCCATAGCCACCAGTCTGTGTGCGAATATTTTGTTGTATAAGACTTCGATTTCCAGGCAATTTTTGAATTTCTCACATCTCGTGTTGGTCTCGATCTTTGGTGTGAGCTCGTGTGTGTCTGGAAGTGTGACATCGGTGTGGGCTGACATGCTATCTAATTTGTGGGCTCGTTGCAAAAAAACCTAAGCACCTAGCAGAAAACCCCCCTTGATGCAAGAGAGCCACTCAGGATCCCTTCAGAATCTTCAAAATTTTGGGATATTCATAGCTTCCCCAAAACGACCTCTTCTGAAAGTTCAACTTGTAATGTAATGACCTGACCAAACACGAACTGAGACACACAGCTGATTTCTGAGTTTTTGTCATGGAATGAATGCCTTGCTGAGTTTCCCGCTTGTTACTGAGTTCTCTAAGTCTGTGTGTGCGCACGCTTGCTGGTCTGCATGTCTGTCTGAGTGCTTGTCGGCTTGAGTGTGTGTGTGACCCGCAAGGGCACTTGTTCGTTCAGTGGGCCCGAAGGGCCGGTACTTGTGGCCGTGACATTGAGGATTGCAGGGGGGGGAAACACTCAAGTCGCGAGGAAAGAGGCCCGCGACACTTGAAGCAGCGGAAAACACTCAAGAGCAGGTAGGCCCGTGCCACACCAGGTAGAGGTAGATGTGCCGGGTGCTCGAGGCGGAGCAGAAGAAGACAGAAGGTGGCATTTTTAGAGGCCCAGTAGTTGTAGGCTAGGTCTAGGCGGGTACCAGTCCAACCAGTCTGAGTCTAGGGCCTGTACGGGCAATATCAGAGTCTGCAATGATGTTTCCCTCTGAAAGGGAGGAGGTACCGTTTGCTTGGAGGCCGCGCGGTGTAGGAAGTCACTCGCCAAGAGGCAAGCAGGCCGCTATATCTCCAGGAGGAGCCAGTTGCTCCTCCTCATTGTCGGTGTGGAAGTTTGGCGACAAACTTGTTGGAGCGCTGGCTGGAGCAGCGCTAGCGCACAGCTGCACTGCTGGGGAAGGAGCAAGGACACGGAGGAGGAAGAAGACCAGGACTAGGAAGGGGAGCGCCATAGCTGCTTTGTGTTGTCCTTTGGACAGCGGGGCGATGCCCTGGCAGTCCGCTATAGCCTCGGCCTATAGGGAAGAAGGAAGAGGGGTGTCCATGGCTATGGTGGACCTCAAGTGATACCTGCAGTAGAAGAGGGACTCAGACATTGATTCTGGATCAGCCAGTCAACATTGTTATTATTATTCTTGTTTGAATAAGAGGGGAGGAGATAAGGAGGACGAGAGTGGTTGGCGAAGAAGAAGAGCATTATCATTGGTCTATGCTGGTGTACATCATCTTCTTCTTCTTTCTTTCTTCTTCTTTCTTTCTTCTTCTTTCTTTCTTCTTCTTTTTCTTCTTCTTCTTACCCTCTCTCTCCTCTCAAGTTCATTCATTTCTGCTTGCAATTGGACGGCATTGTACTTCCTGATGAATGTGTACTTCGAAATTGGCCAGCATCATAACAGTAACCCTCTCTCTCTCTCTCTCTCTCTCTCTCTCTCTCTCTCTCTCTCTCTCTCTCT